ACGTCCCTGGGACGTCCGATGTGGACATTCCCAGAACGTTCTCTGTACGTCCCTAGGACGTTCGGTGTGGACATTCCCAAAACGTTTTCCGAACGATCGAAATGAACGTTAAAATGAAATTTATGTTTAGAAGATGTGTGTATTCAATATTTGGACAATGTTGAATAAATTTAGAAAATTGAGATTTAAAAAAAAATTAAATTTAAATTTTATATACTTTCTTTTATTTTTGTTGGTAGATTTTAGTTAACTGTATTTGTTTCTTATGACTGGATTCCATGAAAACGACGAACAAATCTTTCAATTTTTATTTAATCTCGAACTCACGATTTCCGAACCACACGCAACCTGCTTCCTCACTTACCCATAAACGCCTTTGCTAAACTGACTCATATTTTAGGCTTATATGTATAGTGACTCGCATTAATATTCGGACACTTTTTAAAACACAATTCCTTTCTTTGAAATTGGTCTAAATGACTTGAACTTTTTTTTTAAAAGTTAGAATTAATTTACTAGGTAATTCTGAATAGTTTCAAATATTACGTACATATCACATCTCATATGTACAAAAAATATTGTATTCCTAATATTGAATAAACATTTTGTTTTACGTGTGCAAACATATATTCTGTTGCGAATATTAGATAAATACGTGTTTTATCCACGGAAAAAAATATTCTATTGCGAATATGAAATAATGACCGTATACTCAGATAGCACAGGAACAGGAACGTCTTATGTACGTCCATAGGACGTTCGGTGCTATCTGGGTTACATTCAAAATTACCAAACTTGGTTTGACTTTCTGTCGGTGGGACAAAACTTACGCCTTTAAATTATTGCTATTATCATACCTACTTTAAATATCTTTAGCCAATAGGGGAGCTGAATGCAATTTCTGCTGTTCAAAATATGATGCTGGTAAGGTAAGGTAGGCTTTATAAGCAAGCGACATAGAGATCCAAGACTAACGGAGAAACAGGACTCCATGGAAGAAAAAGTAAAAAAAAAAAAAAAAGTAACTCCTACCGGGAACGAACTGCGTCCAACGCAAAAGATCGACTTCGCAATCTGTCACTCCAACGACTGCGCTACGCTGCTTCTATGATGCCTCCGACTCTTGTATGGTCGACACTCGTAATATTGAAAGTCTCGCTTATTCGGCTAGACCCTTACTTTCAGGTATCGCGGCATCACGCAGCCTACTCGTAGGGACACGGACGCGTTGCATGTATAAGTGTGTCTCGGCACGGCTGCTCGCCAGCCTTCATGGCCGGCACCATGCTATTATACCCGAATATTGTTAATTATGACAGAAAAAAGCAAAAGTAGAGTACCTATGGGAGCTGGTGCTGTAGTTTGAACATTTATCTAGCGGAAACGATATTGAGAGGTCTCAAATTTGCATTGTCGAGACAAAAATAGGACAATGCGGAACCCTTGCAGTTCCGTGTACGTATACACGTATACAGTGGTGTGGAGCTATATGAGTGCGTACTAGCACATACAAGGCACGGGAGTTCACTCCCTTAATATTATTCTATATCCCCACCTCTATCAAATACTATCCCAACCTACCCAGACGTTATTTTCATAGACAGAGTATATACATTAGCAGTAACCAGTATTTCCACCCCCAGCCTCCCAAAAAAATGCTGCAAACCTACTCAGACAGTATTTTCGAGTAGGTAGTACATATATTATCTGTATGCAATATTAACCCTCCCCCCCCCCCCCCTCGCATCGCCAAAACAAATATATAAAACCCTCACAAACAATACTTTTACGTAGACATTTATTGTCTGGCTAAGCTTTCCATAGGACAGTACCCCGGTTATACGGCCATACCTGCACCCACACGAAGGTGATGGGTTTGTAAAACGACAAACGGGCGCCTAATAACTCATTATTAGTATCAGTGAAAATTGATGGGGGTTCTTATTCTAACGAACCCTCACACGGCCGACCAGGGAAAAGAATGCAAAGACAAGTCCTCTCCATTGTTACATTTCATCGAGGCAAGTACTCAGAAATCTCGTAAAACTCTAGTCTTGAGCAATTGTAAGGAGTTTACTTTTGAGTCCTCTTTTTCTCGGGAAGTCTATTGCCAGCAACAATCCCCAGGGGACGGATCCGGACTTCCACGTACACAGTTTACATGTATACATTAACAGCATTCAATATAGCCGCCCTCACCAAAAACTAACTCAAGCAGAAATTACAAATTTTTGATATTGCGCCGACTACGAAAAGTTTATTTAACATAATGTAATGTAAAGGAGATAGAAATATAATATATTATTCAATATCATTTAATATAAATGAAATAGAAATTATTTCATACTTTTAAACAATTATATCTAGAACTGGTGAGTATTCATATCAATTAACTAGAAATTATTTCATACTTTTTAGTGCAATTTTAATATTTTTTCGAAGTCGGTTATATTTTCTCTTGAAAATTATTTTATAGTTTATGGTAAGTGCCATACAAATGCAATAAGAGCTAAAGCTATTTACGCTGAAGGGTATTCTGAACGAAATCAGCCATATCAAGTATTTGAGAGAATTCGTGAATCGCTTTGACGAACCGAAAGTTTTATTGTTACTAAACGTAACGTAGCGAAAGCTGCTATTTCTGATGAAAATACGATTGCGATCCTAGCAGCGAATAACAAAAAACCGCCATATTAGTAGACGGCAGATGGTATTAGCAAAACGAGTGTACTACGAACAAGTGTACTTCATCAGGAGCTTCATGGCTGTAAACATATGATTAAGGTTGTATCTTCTACTTGATATTATGCGAAGAAAATTTTCAAGTAATAAAGTGAAATTACTCGTTACTTCTTAGGTTTAGGGCTAATAAAGGTCAATACTTTTATGATTGAAAACGGGAAAATGTGACGTTTGTGACATACAATGAATCATGGATAGAGACAGGGACAAATGGATAGATATGAGCATTGAGCTCTATCCTATTTTTCGCATAGTTTTCGCATTTTAGCCGGGCGGGACCACCAGTGCACTCCCCGGTGTTCTCTCGGGCGAGTGGCACTTTGGCCGTGTCCACAGTCACACCTGGCCTAAGTGAGGAGCTTTGGACCAGGTGGGAACTCATTACCTCGACTTCCTGTTTCGACCCCGCGTTTCGGGCGATCCTCGTTTTCTCTTGGACCCGGGCCTATGATTGAACATCCCTCTGGACCTGCAGTACCAACCAGCATTGTTCTGCGACATTACATATTCGCAGAAGGAGACCACGGCCCTGTATGGACTCCCGCCACCGGCCAAGTGGTCGACCAAGGCCGACAGCGAGAGGTCTGCTCCTACGATGCTTATTAGGACACGACGAGGCGCCGACCATGCCGGACATTCCTCCAGCGTATGCCTCACCGTGTCCAGAGCCTCCTCGAAATGGTGACACTCGGCGGTGGGTTCTCTTCCGATGGAATGCAGGTACTGACCGAAACATCCCTTCTTTCCGGTCAGCACCTGCGTCACCCGGTAGGTGAACCTTGGCCGCTTCCTGCACCATACCTCGAGTATGGGCAAGAGGGCCCGAACTATCGGACGGTCTGTAATGGCGGACTGAATTTCAATCCGCCATTGGGTCATTGTCCGTTGTCGGGCCAGGAGCCTCAGCACCTCGGTCCTCTCCTGCAGGGAGGCTATTTCCCCCCCGTCGACGGTGCGGCTGGACCAATACAGTCCAGCCAGCTCCGCCGCTAGCACGTGCAGTGGCGGAATCCCCGCAAGGAGAGTAGCCGCCTCCGCGGAGACGATGCGATATCCCCGTATGGCTCAAAAGGCCAACCGCTTTTGCACGCCAAGCGCAAATGCTTGGCCGCGACGGCTAGCCGCAAGGATGGCGAACCACACGGGTGCTCCGTATAGGAGCTTGCTATGCACCACCCTCGCGTAGAGGCGGCGGATCCTTTCATCGGGCCCCCCAATATTGGGCAACAACCTCGATAACGAGGCTCGCATCAGCTTGGTGGGCCAGGAGACCGAAATGCTCCACGAAGCGCCAGCGGCTGTCGAGCATCAGGCCAAGATATTTCATCGATTACCTGACCTCGACCGAGGGATCATCCACCTGGATCCGGAGTTGGGGGGGGCTGTTGTCTCGGAGGCAGTGCATGCAGCCACATTGCCTCCGTCTTGTCGACAGCCACTTTAAGCCCCAGTCTCCGGATCCGAACCACCACCGAGTCCACCACGGATTACGGATCCATATATAAATATGGAGGTGGTCGGACGGACTCTCTATATCCTCAGCCACCTGCCAAGCGGACACTCGGCGCACGGCAGACAAGGATGCCCACGTAAGATCTATTGCAGACACCCCATTCCACCGCACGCACGTGGGTCGGAGCCCCGGTTGATAAGGCGGAGCTCCATCCCCCCAGTCCAACTCTCCAGAGCTTCACCTTTAGGGGTGGTCCTGGGGTTTCCCCAGCTGGTGGACTTCGCGTTGAAATCCCCCAGGACCAGTACCGGACCGTTCATGAATGGGGCGACTAGGGTCCCAAGCCGGTCCAGGTACTCCCCAAACTCTGCGAGGCTCCGGTTGGGCGAAAAGTAGCAGCCAACGACCAGAAATCTTCCCCACTTAACAGCTATCATCCCCCGACCTCGCTCGACCACGGAGCCAGGGGGGAAACCCTGTTGTATGTTACGCCCGACCCAAAAGGGGGAGTCAGGGACCACGTAGGGCTCCGTGACGACCACTGCTCCAACCCCCCGCTCCCGCGTTATTCATCAGCATTGGAGCGGATCTCCGCAATACTGAGGTCTTTGAGACGTATTTCCGACCGCGCCCTCCCCATAGCCTCGGCCAGGGTGACCTTGCACCCTTCCGGCACGGTCAGCGTGACTGCTGCCGTGTTGCGTGCTACGGCAACCCCTGGCCGGTGGCCCTGTGGCGAGGTGTAGCCCTGTTCAGCTCGGGCTTAGTTTGGACCGGAGCTACCGCTTTGTTCTGAGCCTTCGCCCGCAGACCAATCACTTTCACCCACGCCACCGGGCCAGGGGCACCCGACAGAGGGGGAGGAGTATGACTCGTCGAGGGACCCTTACGAGAGAGAGGCAACCGGGGAGGTTCGGCCTTCGAATGGGGTAGGGTTATGGTTTGGGTCGAGGGGCTTCCTTTCTCTGCCGCCTCCCCACTTCCCTTTCCGCCTTTCTTCCTCTGCTTCCACACTTCCGCCTTACCCTCCTCCGCAGGATTAGGAAGGGGAGTTTTTAACCCTCCCCCCAAAACTGCCTCATTGAGGCGGGCTTGTCCTCTCCTGATCGGGGCCAACTTTGCATCAAGCATAGCCCCGATCTTCTTGAAGAGCAGGTCCTCACCCGAAGCCGAGGTAGAAGCCTCAGTTGCTGGAAGGCGCCGGCTTTCCTCTCTCCTCTTCCCCGCCATCTCTCTCCGTACAGGCGGAGTGGTAGCATTCGCTGACGGCGGCAGCGAGAGCTGAGCTGGCAGCAGAGCTGGATCTACTACCAACCTTTTCACTGCCATCAGCTCCTCCCTCATCGCCTTGAGGGAGGCCACCATCTCATTTATCTGCCTCTTTAAGGAGGCATTCTCTTCCCGCAGGGAGTCCAACTCCACATTCTGTGCCGGAAGGGCAACCCCCTCTCTGCATCATCTCAAGGAACGCCGCTTTGGCAAATCTGGCCGCTTCCTTAAGGCCACGCACGGTGGTGCCTTTGAGATTGCGGCTCTTTAACGCCGCATCCTCAACACCCTGCACGTGCTCCAGAAACTTCTCCAGAATGAAGCCTGTCTCCCGGGACTTCAGGCTTGCGGCCACTTGATGTGTGGAGAAGGAGGGGTCTTTCACCACTCTCTTGCTCTGCCAATGCTCCTCCTCATCGGAATCGTCGAGACGATTTTCTCCCGGCCTCTTCCGCGAGTCCGACATACATGATGCCATGGACCTCGCTGGAGAGACGCAGCGGGATCCCGCAGTCGACTCCTCCGCAACTGACTGCCCTTCCTCCTGGGGCGTCTTGCATGCCGCTCTGGTTCTCACCCGTACCCTCGACGTAGCGGTCCCGCTAAACCCCGTTGTGCCAGCTAGTCGTAACTGTCTCTCCTAGGCCATAGCAGGTCCTGGCGTCTCAGATAAGGATGAGGCGGCTAATGCCGTCGCATCCAACCTCTCTACTAGCACTTCCGGGCGTGCCATCCCCTCCCTCCCGTCGGTTTTTCCGAGACAATTTTCAAATAAATCCATATTATATGAGTGTGTTTTCCTCGGCTTCGGGCACCATGGCGCCCCTACCGCAGTAGGGGACCTTCCACCGGTAAAAAACCCTAACATTTAAACGACACCGAAACCGAGAAGCGCTTTGTCAGGCGGCCACACCCTATCGATGCCGGAAATGACTCTACTAAAAAAGTTACGGGATAGGCCCGCGCCATAAATGATGCAAAAGGCTTAACGTCACTCCTATAGAGTGAGCGACACCCAATCCGAGTGGATGCCAGACCCAAACCTCGAGCTAGACGGTGCTACGGTTTACCCCCCGCAGCTCAGGGTATGAGGCAATACTGACCAGGTAAGCCTCCATTCCTGCGGCCGGTAATCCCACTTCAACCCCGAGATTGGCTCCAGTCAGCGGCTAAGTGAGCGGTTCTCCCACGTTAAACATGCGGGTCCACGGGATCTTTGCCGACGCACCGAGGTGCGCCGGACTTATGTTTACCCTTATTACTACCGCAGAGGTCAGGTACTAACATCACTCTCCGCCCTGGTAGGGGGGCTACTACTCCCCTCTTGGCTAGTCTATCGGGAATATCCATGAGACACCGAATGCAGCCCATTCACACACACATTCATACCAGTGTTTGGTCGGCGGGGGCTTCGCCCCGACTCCCCAACGAAGCGGAAGCGGCCTCTCAGCCATCGTCCACCACGCCAGAGAGCTTCCCCTATCCGAAACCCGGGGACGCGCCACGTAGGGGTTCACCTCCCCTCCAGACTGGAAATCCAGCCTGGTCCGTGGGTGGTACGTTGGCCTGTCCCGTGCTCAACACTCACTTGCTCTTTCTTTGGTTCTGCACGCTGCGGAGGGGGGGGGGAGGGGTCTATGCAGTGTCATTTGTATATGATTTTCTGATCGACGTCCCTTATTCCGTCTGGTGCCCGTCTTACTTTTTTCGGTCCCCCGAATTGAGGCTGTGACGACCCCTTTTTTTTTTTATTGTGGGGAAATGCGTTACGCATGCCTTGGTTTCCCGGGGGGAAAACCGAGATTATGTGGGACTACCATCGGGGAGTGGAGCGCCGGAGGCGTACCCGTCCGCGATGGCTACCCAGTAAAACCCCACACCCGCCTAAGCTACATGGGAAGTACCTGGAACACGCGGATATTCAGCAGGACACTTCCCAGCTTACATGAATCCCAGAGGGAGGGTACCAACCTCTCCCACTACCTACTCTATAAGACCACGGGCGAAGGGACCCGCCCGGTGTCCCCATCCCTGGGGCCGTCGGAATGGGCTTCCCGAGCCCCCGCTCGGTCGACCCACAGCCACCGGCGTCTTCATGTCCGTACTGGTTCAGGGATCTATGAGCTCCCTGAACGCCAGGACAAGAAGACGCCGACACCGGTAAGGGAGGGTCGTCGGAGGCGTGATCCGGCACACCCCGACCCTCCCCACCCCACCCCGCATGCGCCACCACAAGACTCGGTGGTCTAAGTGGAGACGGGCCGAGCATGTGCGGTCGGCTCGTCCCGAGGGGAATTGTATCCCCTCCGAGGGCCAGGGTCAGCTCACGCTCCGACCCCCTACATTCGCCTCGGGACAGCTCACGCCTCGCGGCCCCCCACCCTTCCTACCACTACGCAGAGGCGTGCACTGGAGCAAGGGACGTCCCCGCGCCCACACCCTCCTTGCCGAGCCCGGGTCTCTTTCCCGGGCTCGCTCGGCGGCCTCCTTTTGCGACATAACTTCCTCGCCGCCTTCCACGACCTCTCGCTCGAGACCATGTGGTCAACCACATGGTCTCGAGCGAGAGGTCCCACCCACCCACTGCGGCTCTTAGGGCACGGCGCGGTGCGGCCCATGCCAGACATTCCTCGAGTGTATGCCACGCCGTGTCCATCTCCTCGACGTAGTGGTGACACTGCGCTGTCGGCTCCCGCCTCATCCGGTGCACGTACTCTCCGAAGCATCCATGCCCGGAGAGCACCTGCGTGAGGCGGAAGGTCAACCTTCCCCGCATCCTGCACCGTGTTTCAAATATGGGCAGGATGGCCCGGACAATCGGACGGCCCGATAAAGCAAGCTCATGCTTCCACCGGGCCAACGTGTCCCTCCGGGCCTGGCGCTTCTGCACATCGACCTCCTCTACCTCCATGGTCGTGACTTCCACCCCCGCAGGGCAGCGAGCGGGGCGGACGGCGGAATCACGGCCAGGAGGCCCGCCGCTTCAGCAGAAATGGTGCGGTATCCCCGTATGGCTCGCAGGGCCAGCCGCCGTCGCACTCTTTCAAAAAGAGCGCGGCTGCACTTGCTGGCCTCGAGCAAGCGGTGCCATATGGGGGCCCCATATAGAGCCATCGACCGCACCACCTCTGCGTACAAGCGACGGATCCGGAAATTCGCCCCCCCCCCCCCCCCCCGATATTGGGCAGCAGCCGCGCTAAAGCGGCGGCCGCCTTCTCCATTCAGAGGGCCAGGAGGTCAAAGTGCTCCTTGAAGCGCCAGCGTCCGATGACGACCAGACCCAGGTATTTCGTGGTGGGTCTGATGTCGACGGAGGTATCCCCGACGCGAATCCGGAGATCCCGACCTAAAGGCGGCCGCCGCGCCCGAGACAATTCGTACAGCCAGATTGCCTCGGTCTTTGCGGCGGCCACGGTCAGTCCCATCCTCCGGATTCTCCCGACAACACAGTCTAGGGCGAACTCAGCAGCATGCCTGGTTCCACTCCAGTCCTCCCCCTCTGCATAAATCAGGGTGTCATCCGCATAGTAGATGACACCCGTGTCAGGGGGGAGGGCAACCCGCAACACCGCGTCGAAAGCAAGGTTCCACAGAAGCGGTCCGAGGACCGACCCCTGCGGAACCCCGCGGTGTGTCTCCCTCGTGTGCACAACCTGGAACCGGCCGGTAAAAACCACCTCCCTGCCGCGGAGATAGTCCCGAACCACCTTCCGGAGATAGGGGGGCACCTGGAAATATTCCAACGCCCCTACTATCTCCTTCCAGGGCAGGGCGTTGAAAGCATTGGATATATCCAATGAAACAGCGATCAACACCCTGCCCCTAGCGACAGCCCCATCCAATCGTCGGGCGCCCCCTCCGGAAGCCATACTGGCTGTCGTTGAGGTCGGGACCACCGCGCGACTGGTGCTCGATGAGGCAGGCAGCTATGATTCTGTCGAACAGCTTGCCCGCCTCGTCGAGAAGACACATCGGCCGGTACGCAGAAGGAGACTCTGCGGGTTTTCCACCTTTCTGGAGGAGAACCAGGCACGCCTTTTTCCACACTGTGGGGAAGGTTCCTTGGCTCAGGTTAGCGTTCAAGACGCTCCTGTACGACCGGCCGAGGATTCACAAAGACAAAGCTAGCAGGCTACCGGGTACTCCGTCCGGGTCGGGAGCTTTCTTGCCCCTAGCCCGGAGCCCCCCGATAGCTCGGGACAGCTCAAACTCCGTGACCCGAAATTCATCCGACCATTCAATAGTCGGACTCGAGGCGCGTTCCAACCTACCCTCTCCCCCATCGTTGAGGGGGAAGAGGGTATCAATCACGCACCCCAGGAATTCCGGATCTAACCTCTCCGTGACAGGAGACGCCCAAGAGCGGAGCTTCCCAAGCACCACCTTGTATGGGCGCCCCCACGGATCGTCACGGAGGGTAAGCAGGAGCTCGTCCCACGCTTTGGCCTTGGTTGCGGCTATCGCGCGCTTGAGAGCCACAGCCGCTGACCTGTACACCCCGTACAGTTCGGCGACTCTCCACTCCGGGTTACCGCCTAAGAAATGGCGGCGCCGAGCACGGGTATACTGGCGACGGGTGCGGCCGGCCGTTCTTCTGAGGTCGGCAACCTCGCCCGTCCACCACTACGCAGACTTCCTCGGGGGCTGCTCGCGGATCCGGAGCATAGCTACGTTGCAAATCATTTGCAACGTGTCCCGGATCCACAAAGCCTCCTCTTTTGCCCCGCGCTCCTTGGCCGTAGGCCAGGCGGAGCCGATAATCACAGCCCTCGGTAAGTCCTCGTGTAGTCGCTTCAGCGCCCATCTTGGCGCTGAAGGGATGCTACGTCGGAGGGGGTCGTCCGCTGGCGGGTCCGAGACCACAGCCACGTCCATAAGGACGTAGCTGTGGTCCGACAATGTTTCACCCTCCCAGACCCGCCAGTTAGACACCCAGCGTGAGACGGTGGCTGACGCAAACGATACGTCCACGATGGACCAGCCGTTCCACTTCACGCAAGTTGGTATCCTCCACCCAATCCTGTAGCGCTCCGCCTCGGGAGCTGGTCCCCGGTTTACCCCACGCGGTGGACTTCGCATTGAGGTCCCCGAGAACCAGCACCGGACCGGCCATGTAGGGGGCTACCATAGCCCCAAGCCAGTCCAACGGAGAGCCTAGACCCAATTTTTCTCGGGCGTGTCGTGGTCGCGCTTTTTCCCCCTGGCGGGGAGGCAACCCGACCATTGCCCGGGACGGAGGGCCGCGAAATTGAACGGCCCCCCGATGTGGGGGTCACGGATGGGAAGATGGCCGCGGTTATCCAGTGGCTCCGAGGCAAGAATACCGCCCTGGGGCCGGATGGGATACCCAGCAGAGTCTGGGCATTGGCCCTGGGCGTCGTGTTCGGGAAAGTGCAGGCACTGTTCTCCACCTGCTTGGAGTCGGGGGTGTTCCTTTGGCTATGGAAGCCGCCTGTCGCATGTTGGTCCCGACCTGGCTAACTGCCAATTCGCCTTCCGAGAGGGCCGGTCAACCGTTGACGCGATATCGATCATCGCGATATCGTTGACGCGATATCATAGCGATAACATTGGATATCGTAAACGCTTTTAACACCCTGCCCTGGGAAGCCATAAGGGAGGCACTAATTTACCATCAAGTGCCTCCCTATCTGAGACAGGTGATCGGGGCCTATCTGAGCGACAGGTGGATAGATTACCTGGGCCGGTACGCCCGGAACGCATGGAACGGAGGGAGGTGAGCCGTGGGATCTCACAAGGCTCAGTTTTGGGCCCGTTGTTGTGGGACCTCGGCTACGATTGGGTCCTGCGAGCCCCGCTTCCCGTGCCAGTTTTGTCTGCTTTGCAGACGACACCTTAGTGATCGCCGTCGGGATCATTTTTGAGGGGACCATCCGCCGTGCAGAGGTGGCGGTGGCGGCTGTCGTAGCGAGGATCCGCGGACTGGGCCTTCGTGTGGCCCCTGAAAAGATCGAGACCATATGATTTCATGGCGACCCTCGGTCTCGGCCACTGCCCGGGTCCGGGTGGGTGGAGCCTGTGTCGAGGTCGGAAGCCGAATCAAATACCTCGGCCTCGTCCTCGACAGCCACTGGCGTTTCGAGGCGCACTTCAACCGTTTGGTCCTCCGTGTGGAAAGGACGGCGGTCACGCTTGGCCGCCTTTTGGCCAATATCGGGGGACCTGGGGATCGTGTGAGCCGCCTATATATGGGAGTGGTGCGGTCTATGATGCTGTACGGGACTCCAGTATAGGCCTCGGACGCGATGGCAAGCCGGCATATTAAACAACGTCTGCGCCGGCTGGAGAGGCGGATGTCCATAAGGGTCATCCGCAGGTACCGCACCTTCTCCTATGTGGCGGCGCAGGCTCTGGAGGGTGAAGTGCCCTTCGAACTGCTTGCGGCTGCACGCGCGTCTGTCTATTCGCGCGTGAGGGCCACCCGCCTTGTTCGGGGACACCCACCAGAGTCCAAGTCGGTCGAGGATTTTAAACACCAGCCCTGGCGACTGGCGCTCGCCAGTTGGCGTCTGGAGCTGAGTTCCCACGCCGGCGAGCGCGTCGCCGGGACTCTCCTGCCTCACCTCAAAAGGTGGCGGGTGAGACGGCACGGTAGACGCACCTACCGGGCGTCACAGGTATTCACCGGACACGGCTGCTTTGGTGTCTACCTGTGACGCATAGGGAAGAAGGCCACCATTGCGACGAGGAGTAGGACTCGGTGCAGCATACGCTGAAGGAATGCCCCGGCCTTTTCAGCGCAGCGCCAAGTCCTAAGGTCCAAAATAGGACATGACCTCTCGCACCCAGCAGTAGTTGGGGCCATGCTGGTGAGCGAGGAGAATTGGACGGCGGTAGTCTTCTTCTGCGAAGAGGTTATCTCGCAGAAGGAGGCCGCAGAATGGGATCGGGAGTTGGCGGGGGCAATGGCGGCGACCAGCCGGTTACGTCGTTGGGCCCCCGGGATTAGGATGGTAGCTGACGGCAGGGAAGATTGAAGTCAACCTCCGCCGCCGGCTGATCACCCTGGAAGTGTGGCAGGAGAGAGAGAACGGCATATCAACCGCTATCCCACCTGGCGGCCGTGGTACCCAGGGCGTGGGCCTTGGGTCACCTGTACAAAGCGGCCGCCGAGATGGAGCAGTGCAGCGCCTCCCTGCTCTGCAGAGTAGAACGTGATAGGGAGAGTCAGTATATCCCCCCCTCGGGACGCGGCCGGCCATCAAAGGCTAAATGGCCGGTAGAAGGCTAGGGGCAGTCGCAGTAGTGATCTATCTATCTGCCTATCCGTCTGTCCGTCTGTCCGTCTGTTCTATCGGAAAACTTTAATAATTTTTTACGCGACAACGGTTCATCTCCGACATGTGGCTCCTTTGAAGCTTTTTACGTACTCCTCGAGTAGAATTTTTTAAAATTAAAAAAAAACGTTGACCTTAAATTTCGAAGTCATAATAGATTTCGCGGACAGTTTTTTCTCAAGTATCCACCGATCCAGATGTGTACAATAACTCCTGAACGTGGTGACCAATAATTTTTATACACTCTGCACACCCTGATTTCATTTGTAAAAATAAAGATGTTTAATACAAATTACTTTTTGAGTTGATACTAATTGAATATAACAACTGATACCTACATATACTGAAAAATCCATTATTAATGTTTCCTATTTCCCATAAATATTTTAACAGAAACGTTTAAAAATTATTCGGATAATGTGAAATTTATGTTTAGAAGATGCGTATTGAATATTCTGGCAATGTTGCGTAAATCTTGAAAATTAAGAGATTTAAAACGAAATTAAATCAAATTTTATATTGTATTTCATTTATTCATAGATTTTGCTTTTATTACTTTATTTCTTGTGATTAGATTCCATTAAAACAAGTTATTTTAAATTTTTTTACCTCGGTGGGAATTTGAATATCAGATGAATATGTATTTTATATTCGAGAAAAAATATATTGTTGCGAATATTAAATAAATATGTATTTTATATTGTTCATTCTAAATATGGAATAGATATTCTTTTTATACTTAAAAAAAAAATATTTTTTTTCTAAATCTAGAATAAACATCATATGTATATTTAAATATTAAAATGAGATTCAATCTCTTTTATTGGATGAATCTGTATTCAATATTTTGTGCAACTAGGGTATGTGAACCTGACACCTAACTGCCAAACAATTAACTTTTTTTTACGGAATAGGGTTTCGCATCGATTTTAGTATTAGGTTGTTACAATTTTTTTTATTTCTCAATTAATGAAACTACAAATGAGACATCGCCTAGTGTCCCCCGAATTATTTAATCAAATTTTTTTCATATGTAAAGAAGAGAATGTAGAACAATCTCTGAGTGTCAACCGTATAAAAGTCGAAGTATTATAGAAGAAGCGTGGAACAGTCGATAGAATACCATTTTGCGAAGACGATCTTTTGCGCTGGAAACGGTTCGATCCCGGTAGGAGTCAGTTATTTTTTTTTTTTTTTTACTTTTTCTTCCGTTCGTACCATGTTTTGTTATGGAAACTACATTTTTATATATTAAGATTATTTTTATACAATATTGTGCAATTTTTACGTTTTTTATCGCATTGAAAAAGAAGTCAAAACAAAAAGAAAAGAAGAAAACAAAGAAAGAAAGAAAAGGAAAAAAAGGAAAGAAGAAAGAAGTTGTGCAATGTTTATTTAATATAATAAAATTGTTATTTACAAACTATAAGGACGTAAGTTTTTATAAAAGCTTGTAGAAACTCCTTTCACATCCTGACTTCTTTTTCAAAGCGATAAAAAACATAAAAATTGCATAATATTGTACAAAAATAATCTTACTATATAAAAAGGTAGTTTCCATAACAAAACATGATATAAACGGAAGAAAAAGTAAAAAAAAATAAAGTGACTCCTACCGGGATCGAATCGATTCCAGCGCAAAGCTAAAGTTTCGAAGCGACGACGATAGTAGAAAGAAACAGTTTGATGAAGAAGGAAGAGAGACTGAGAGTCGACGTTGGCAAATGTAAGGATACGGGATGCTAAGCACGATTTCGACCTCAGTGAAATGGCAACAGTGTAGAGACGCTGTTGTAAGAACGGCAACATTGCAATTGTGTCGAATTCACGTTAGCAGTCGTTCTCAGTAAGCGCCATCTCCTATCGATTGTCTGAACTAAATTTATGACGTAACTTGCTCTGCATTATCGTCAAAATGGCGGAACACGTCTTTGGGAATGTTTTCACGATTTTTCGCTTTTTGTTCTTGTATTAGCATATTTTGGATTGAATGAGGGCTCATTCGAAAGATGAAGGTCCAACGAAGGGTGCTCTGGTCATCATTTGAGTCACGAAATCCATTTAGTAACCTAAAAATACTTCCATTCTACGGATTTTTTCCTCGACTTTTGTTCAACTTTGGACGCTGATATTATTAAATATGAACACACTATCGTTCAATCATGACCAGAGCACCCTTCGTTGGACCTTCCTCTTTCGAATGAGCCCTCATTCAGTCCAAAATATGCTAATATAATGTTGTACCCTCAGGCGTTTTTTAAAGGGTTTTGGGATATCGTGGGTTTCGGAGCGTTTAAAGAATTGGAATTCACCGGTGTTCGATGATGAGTCAAAGGATCGTAACTCCAGCGATGTACTCTCAACAATGACTTTATTCAAAATGTGCTCAGAACTATCTTTTACAAGGTGTTAATGTTTTTATAGTCTTTGTTGGCAATCGTACATGACCATATATGGTCATGTTGCCAGGCGTGAGCAACATCTAGGCAAATGTCTAAACAGTCTCCGTTTGTGGTTGATACACTATTTGGCTTCTTCATTTCACCGCCAAAGTGCGGAGCAGTCAGTTTACATGAGTTATCATTAGGGTCTGAACGTTTGCACTGTTGAACACAGCATTTTAGCTGCACACAGTTGGAAACCACCGAATTTGATATTATGTTATACAGTGTCACCTTGCACTTTACTGGAAAGGACCTTCATGTACTGGCTGCTCATTTCGATTTCACATCTTTTTCTACTTTCGTGAATTTTTTTAGAGGGCATTTCTATTTTTCTATGATTACTCTTGAAGTCCTCCACTTTTTCATGTACTTGGTGTAATTTTTTTACTTTTTTGAAGTTTTTTATGGGGATCTCACTTATTTTCACAAAGATAATTTGTATAGTGAATGACCTCAAATAATAGAAAATGGGAGATCAGTTTGAACTCTTTAAGGTTTTAAAAGTACGCGGAACGCATTGCACAAAGTCTCATTGCAAGAAATTTATTAAAGAAAAAATGTAATCACTTTATCAGTAACATTTAAATGCAACATGACTTTCTGTCATGTGACGTGGGTACTTTTGAGAAATTAAAGGACTAAGTCTGACCTCTCTTTTTCTATATTATTGTAATACAATAAATTGTGCGTTACCAATAGTGCATCTCTGTTCATTTTCTCATTATTTAAATTTCTTGCAACAAAACTTTCTGCCATGCATTGTGTGTACTTTTGAAAATTTTAAGGACTGAAACTGATTGCAATACGATAAATTGTGCGTTACAAATAGTGGATTTCTTTTTTCATTTTTCGATTTATCTTTAACATTCGAATTTCTTGCCACAAGACTTTCTGCCACGCTGTCTGCGTTACTTCTGAACTTTATTCAAATACAATAAATTATGCGTTATAA